CTGGTCTATGGTGTTGTTCTCTCTCACCTTGACTACTGTAATACCCTTTTCAGTGGTCTTACATGTTCCCAGATTGCAACACTGCAATTTATAATGAATGCGGTGGCGAGGCTCATTTTCCTCACCTCCCACACCTCCCCACTCTGTCAGTCCCTGCATTGGCTTCCAGTTAGACATAGGGCTCAATTTAAAATGATGGTGCTTGCTTACAAGTCCCTACATAATGCTGTTCCAACCTACCTATCCTCCCTAATACACATGAATGTCCCGTTAAGACCCCTACACTCTGCCAAAGACCTACGTATATCCTCTGTCCGTACTCCCACCTCTAATGCTCGCCTCCAAGATTTCTCCAGGGCTGCACCTCTTCTGTGGAACTCCCTTCCCTTCTCCTTAAGACTTTCACCCAGACTCCACTCATTCAAAAAATTATTGAAAACTCACTTCTTCAAAAAAGCATACAATTAAGCTATTAGCAGGTTTTTATCCCCCACCCCCATGACTCCTCTCCTGCAACTGTCAAAATTACCTGCTAAGCCCTCAACAACTTACTTCGTACCCTTACTTTTACCCTTTGTGTTACTATACCCCACTCCCTCTAGAATGTAAGTTCATTGAGCAGGGCCCTCCACCTCTCTGTTTCTGTATGTCCAGTTGTCTGGTTACAATTACATGTCTGTTAGTCCACCCATTGTATAGCGCTACAGAATCTGATGGTGCTATATAAAAAATATAATAATAATAATGACAGGCAGTGAAAATAGAGAGTAAGTCCAGACCCCTTCTGACTGTCTGACAACCACTTGATGTGTGAGAATTGCAAAATGTAAATAGTATAGGTTTTAAGATACTGCACAGTTTTCATTTACAAGACTGCAGCACTATTATCTATTCCTCAAAAGCAATGCTGGTGTCCTTTTAATATTTAAGAAACATAAACCAGGGTTATTTACTAAAGTGAAAATTCAAAGTGAATTCCTTTAAAAATAATAAAAATAAAACCTCTAAGTCGGCTATGCTTTTAGTTCAGCTTCTCTGGCCTTAAATTTAAAATTCACTTTGAATTCACTTAATTCTCACATTTGTAAATAATCCTGAGTGTGTGTGACTTTTCCTCCTATACGATATTTTGGACTTTATTGTTTTATCCTTAGTCTTTTTTCCCCCAAAACACCAACTCAGTTCTTTTCTCTTATTCTAGTTGTGAGACATCAAACCAGTTCTGGTATTCAGGAGACAGATGCCAAGTATCTATCAGTAAACCCGGTGTGTACGGAGGAGTAACTGCCGGACTGTTTGTTCTGTTCATTGTTATTATGACTCTGGCTATAATCCTGTTGAGACGTAGATATCGACCATTAGAGAAGTGAGTAACTCTATCTTCAGTAGCCAAACTGGGAACCTAGCTGGCTTGGAGAATATATCCAGTTCAGCTATTTTAATCTTAAATTCAAATTTGCGTTGCATTCTCTGTGAATTCTCACTTTAGTGAAAACCTATATATGAATGAATACATTGTTACAATTTTTAATAAAAACTAATTATTTTCAAAGTTTTGCTCATAATATTTTTTACAGATCAAGTACTGTAACGAAAAATAACTCAAATTAGATTTAAGTATCAATACAGATTGTTGAATGCCGCACCTGTCTAGGATTTAAATAGATTTTTGTTAGTTAGATCTAACCCTATACCAATCTTAACCTTATCCTTATTCCTCCCTTACCTCTAGCCCTATGATTGCCCTAAACTTAGCTCTAACATCCCCTAAACTTAGCTCTAACCTTAACCATGCCCCATCCCTAATCAAGCACTAACTCTAATCCAGCATTAAAATCAAATACATTAGCACTAATCCTAACCCTAAACTATTCCTAATCCTAGCACAGAGGGATTCCCTCTGTTCAGATCAGTATGGACATCAGCAGAGGGATTTCCCAGCTCGCACAGTACAGAGCACTCCATACTATGTGATTGCAGCACCACTGGGAGATATTCCTCTTATGCTGCATTTTCTGCATGATGTCCCTGTGATCGTTGCTGGTCAGTCAGGCATAGCCTATATTTCCAGTTTGAGCAGGGATTTAACCCTGCTTGAAAAGTAATGAAATGAAAAGTAAAGCCCATTATTTTCAAGACAGCATTGAAAATCCAAACAAGAGTTTAATTGAATACAAGAAATCTGCTGAGAAAGCTCTGCTGGTTAATTCTTCAAGTGTAGAGCTTGTTTACTGCTTGGGAATTTTGGTTCTATAAGTTCAGTACGTGTAAGAGTCACATCATCCTGTACCTCCACCCAGATCAATAAAATAGGTACCATTATGTTTCATTACCACATATATCCCATGAGATTCTCGAAAATTACCAGAACTTCCCTCTAAGGTTATTTTTAAATCATACAGAGAATGTTTCAAAAATAATCTGACCATGCTAATTCTGCCTCCCTCCACCCCCATGTTTCAGATGAATACAAAAGTAAAATTTTAGGTTACTAAGCAAGGTTTTCTATTTTCCCATTTTCTCCATATCCTCATTCTTCTTTCTTGTACTCAGGCTGATAGACACAGATATTCGCTGGTATGAAGATGGCTGGGAAGCAGAAGGTAATGATAAAAAAGTAGTTTTTGCAGAACATACATTTTTGTAATTATTAACTATTTCCTACTTAACTGCAACTGCTTCATTAAACTAAAGTTGTTTTGGTGACTAGAGTGTCCCTTTAGAGACCAATGATGGATTCATATCATCATAACATGCCATCTTAATAAGATTCTACATAAGAATATAGTATCTTGATATGATTGCAGGGCTGTATACAGCTGGGACACAGGATATTTCGGGATCAGATTGTGATTCTAAAGGATTTATGAATTTGTTTCTTAAGGGCTCAATAGTACTGCAGTCCATCACTTCTTATTCTTTGCTTAACTTCTGAAAGACATCTCTTGCAGTCCATATTAGACGTTTGCAGTATATTGCTCTAATGAATGTTAAAACATCCATCTGCAACTTCTAAAAATCCTTCAATATCTCCTATAATAGTCATAATATCTCATTACCTATGTGAATGTTTATTGCATCCTTTTCTCTCTCAAAACTAGAGATATTATGAATATTGATAATTATTACTGTAGTATCAGACCCTGTTACTATACATATCACTCCTACCAATCTTCTTCCGTTCTGCCATCCTGAGAACATGGTCTTGCATTTCTTACAAGACATATCCAAGCATTATTCCTTTTAATCCGTATGGGCTTTAGCCGAACATCACTCTGTTAGCTCCTTCCTTACTCCTCCAGAGCATCATTCACAGGTTCTCTGTCCTGAATCGTGCCCATAGATCAACTATTATCCTATGGCATAAAGAGCATCACCGTTTAACGCAACTTGTAAAATTTAGAGAGGCCTCATTAACCTTCATTGCTTAGTATTGATGAACATGTCTGCGTTATCCATTCATCTGCTTTTGTCTTTCATAGGATCTCAGAGCTCCAATAGTGGAGCGAGTAACTTCCAGCTGGTACTAGACAACATGAGTGCAGATGTTAAGGTAAGGAAGTGGAACAATTTATTTAGTTAATATCTTACAGCATTGATTTTTTCATTTTTGCTCTGATAGAGTGGCTGTGTATCTATACTATATGTTAGTCTGAAAGGAACGCTCCAAGCACGATAATGACCACAGCCAGCTAGTCACCTGTTGTCCTCCAAGAGTAAATAATGGTTTGACAACTTACCGGAGGTCTGCTGAGAGCCTGTCCCCAGCTAATCAGCTGCTGGAAACCCCTCTAAGGAGCTTAAAGTTAGCTTCACTGAGCTAAACCCAGTTGAACAGGGACATACTGACTGGTTGAGATCAATAGGTGAATTGGGGATAACAACACACAAGAAGGACTTGGGAATTGTTATAGACAACAAACTATGCAATAATGTGCAATGTCAATCAGCAGTGGCTAAGGCTAGTAAGGCATGAAAAGGGGCATTCATTCTCAGGATGAGAAATCATTTTGACTGTTTATAAATCACTGGTAAGACCACATCTTGGATATAATGGCACTGGAAAGAGTGCAGAGGTGGGCTAAACAATTATTAAAAGGAATGGAACATTTTAGCATGAAGAAAGGTTAACAAATATAAACCTCTTTAGTTTAGAAAAACATCACCTTGGAGGGCGGATATGATAACATTATACAAATATATCCGGGGCCAATACAAACCCTTATGTGCAAACAAACAGGACTTTACATAGGACACAAGGTCATGCATTCAGACTGAAAGGAAGAAGATTTAGTCTAAGGCAAAATAAAGGTTTATTTACCGTAAGAATAAGGATATGGAATTCACTGCATAAAAAGTGGTTTTATCAGAGTCCGTACAGATGTTTAAACAGAAACTAGATACATACTTACAAAAACTGAATATTCAATGATATGATTTTTCAACTGTAGGGTAATAGCTTCTTGATCCAAGGATAAATCTGACTGCCATTCTGGGGACAAGAGGGAATTTTTTTTTTAGTTTGTTGCAAAATTGGAAGTGCTTCAAACTGTTTTTTTTTTTGTTGTTGTTGCTTTTTTTTGGATCAACAGCAAAAAACAGCATGTGAGGAAGGCTGAACTTGATGGACACATGTCCCTTTTCAGCTTATGTAATTATGTAACAGCTGAGTGTTCTTAGCCAATGAGCATACCTCAGTTTAGCTATGTGGTCAAATCTTTCTGCTGCAGGGGAGGTGCGGACGGGAACCCACCAAGACCCAAGTAAATTGTGAAACCATTCTATTTTGGTTATGGTGCTTAGAGTCTTCCATTAAAGCATGTGTAAGAGAGCGTGACATATACGGATAATGGTTATTGATCCAAAAGAAAGCCTGCATTGTTGCAATTTCCAATGTTGTCTTTAACATAAAATACTTATCGGTACATTAACATGTTCTCCATAATAAATGCATTTCTCTCACCCTGTCTATTTTTTATCTCTAGGCGCATTTCCCTCGACCCAGTCCTGTTTAGGAGAACAATATGTGCCATGAAAGATAAACAACTACATATGAGTAATTATTGTACGCACAGAAGCTGTAAACCGGCATCCTGCATTCCACTCGGCGTATATTACTTATAAAATATATACCAAATAACTAACAGAGGAGAAATAAGCTATCAACATGCAAACTTTTTGTATGGTAAATGTCTAAGCCAATCAGATTTTTCTGGCACAGCCCTCCCATAAAACAAAACAACTGCCTCCATGTTTCTATATATTTTTATATATCACTTATATAAATTAAATATATATTTATTAAATATTTATGTAATTCATAAAGCGAAATGTATTTATAAATCTGTGTAATTTATTTTGTTATATTTATTTATTTAAATAATGAATAAAATAAGAAATTTGTAGTCCAAGCATTTGGATTACAAATAAGAATGTAATATTAGCTAATGTGCAATAAATATGCTTGTTTTGCAAACATTACGGTTTTCTGAATTTATTTACAATTTAGTTTAAACATTGAAAGATTTATTTACTAAAGTAAGAATTCAACGCATGGTCAAAAGTTTCCAGTTTGGTCATTTTGATCTTAAATCTGAAATTCGCTTTGAATTCTCACTTTATTGAATAACCCAGTAAATTTAATTTTAAAGGGGCATCCCAAGCACCATAAGCACTTATGCTCTTTGTATAGATTATGGCACAAAGTGTTCCCTGTTCACATCTCCCTTTGTTACAAAATCATTGCTGCTAAACATTCATTTACTGAATGGCTGTCACTTTTGAAGACGGCAGGCGAAGCCCAGGAATTGTATAGTCTGAGCGGGGATCAGTGCAGACTTGGGCCTGTGGACTATGAATCCCAGAGATTCCAACAAGTGTACCATATATCCGGTATGTTGTAATAGGAGGGTGTTCGTCCTGCAGAACAGGAGGATGTCGTCCAAGTATATAATGCGTCGGATCCTTCGTGTTCTGAGATGGGCCACTTCTGGTTTTAGCATCTTTGTGAAACACCACGTTGCAGAGCTGAGACCGAAATAGAGCTAATGTTCCACTTTTATTCAATGTGCACCGTAACCTTTGTACTGAATACTATGTTGACTTACAATTCTTGGCTGTGAGGATATTTATTAATGCAAAGAAACATTAAAAAAAAAAGATGCAGCAAACTGATAGAAGTCCCTGGATTATGGCATATATTCACATGCCTCATAACAATTTCCTGATTTGGGAGTCTTGTCCCTCTGTTTCACTTTATTTTCCAGATGCCCCAATACAAAAAGAGGTCAAGAAATGGTGGAAAAAGATACAGCCATATCCGAAACTCTGCAAACTGGTAATTTTGTAACAAAGAGGGGATTTTACCAACAAAGGTTCTCAAACTTTATCATACATGAACTTCTGCGGCTTCTATTTGCAATGTAATCTACTTCCTGGTTGAATTTGAAAGGGTATAAGGCACCATTTCATATGCTTCTTTTAATCCATATTGCACTTGCCCAAAATTCTTTGGGAATTATCCAAAACGTAACATACTTTGTCCTTGATTTACTTTGAATCGGAATCAGGAATTATTCCATTCATATTAGAAAAAAAATCAAAAAAACTTTAAATTATTTTTCTACTGAACTCACCGTAAAAGTATATGGGAATTTTATAGATAGATCATTTTGAGAAAAAAAAAAAATCTACCAGATTTATGGGGTATTTGGATTATATAGCCTGGTAAAATACTCTAAAATGGGACATGGGCACAGCGTAAAAATTTAGTTTGAAAAAAACTGGAATGGCTGTGTCCTAAATGTGCCCCTCCGATGTCCACATATACCTGGCAAAGGTACATACGGGGGTATTGCTGTACTCAGCCGACATAGCTGAGAAACATATGAAGTATTATACAGTCGTAGCACACATAAGGTTTGCAAAATACTGTGCAAACTCACTTTGTATGTCAAAAAGGCAGAAAAAACGCTTATTACCACTACACCTGGTACAAGCTAGCGGAAAAATGATACCTTTCGAAATACCCTGGGGTGTCTACTTTAAGAAATGGAAGGCCTTTGTGGGGTAGTTTGAATTTAAAACCTGCGAAGATGCTTGGAAATTGCACATAGGCCCAGCGTCAAAATTCAAGGTTCGGTAAAAACGGATATGGCTTGGTCTGCTATATGACACTGTAGTTTCACGAAATAGTGCCAAAGACATTCATTGGACTTAGCTGAGCATAATTTGGGAGGTTTGAACTTAGTGGCACATATGAAATATACAAAATGCACAGCAAAAATGCAATCTGTATGTAAAAAATGCACAAAATTATTTTTTACCACATTCTTTGGCATATATTGGTGAAAAAATGGGGGCCTGTTAAGGCACAATATGCACCTTATGAGATACCCTGGAGTGTCTACTTTTACAAATGGTAGGCCTTTGTGGTTTTTTTTTAAAAAGGCATACTGTTATAATACCCCAAATGGAAGCTAAGGCTCATTAAATCCGTCTCTCAAAATTCTACTGTGAATACTGAAAAGGACAGGTATCCTATATGGCACTGTAACTTCACGAAATAGTGCCAAAGACATACAATGGGGGTGTCATTTTACTCAGCAGATGTAACTGAACACAAAATAAAACTTTGTACAGGAATAGCACACACCAACATTACAAAATATACATGAGAACTTTGTTATAAGTTTGTGTGCCAAAAACCAAAAAATACACAATTTTACTCCAATATTTAGCAGAGGTTGGCGGTGAAATGGCTACGTAGAAAGTGTCAAAACAACCTTAGGTAAATAGCCCGTGATGTCTACTTTATATAAATATATACTTTTGTGTGGCAATTTTGTTTTCTTTTATGGCTATTAAGCTTACAAGACAAACATACCAAATTCTAAAATCGCCCCACATTAAAAGTTTAGTTTACTCCTTGTGCTTTGTGACCTGTAACTACCAAAAAAACGTAAAATCTCAGACACATTATATGTTCTGTAAATCAGAACAACTAAATGAATTTATTTTTAATTACTTTCCTTAACCTGCACTAATTGTGCATACATTATTATTGCAAAAACTGTAAAAAAACACAAATGTTTTATTATTTTGCATTTTTCTGTATTTTTTTTTATAATAAATAAGCATTTATATATATATATATATATATATATATATATATATATATTTATATATATATGTTACATCAAATTAAAGCCCTTTATGTCCTTTATAAAATGGTATATAATATGTGTTGGTGCAATAAATTTGTAAAATGCAAATTGCAGTTGAACGCAAACAGCAAAAAATGAAAAACATGCTGTTGACATTAAGTGAAAGCAAGCTTTTGAAGCTCTATCCTTAAGGGGTTAAAAGTGCTAATACACACCTATAAAGCACTTAACAATTCTAGCCCCACCTATATCTCTTCACTGATCCATAAGTATGTCCCTTCTTTGTCTGTCTGCTCTGTCCATGACCTCCTCCTGTACCTGCTCGCACCCATATGGCCAACTCACGCTTGCAGCACTTCTCGCGGGTGGCTCCCTTCCTTTGGAATACCCTGCCTATCACCATTAGACTGTCCCCTAATCTTCAATCATTTAAAAAGTGCCTTAAAACTAATCTCTTCAGGAAAGCTTATGACCTCCCAGAGTAACCTCTATAATAATATTGTAAAGCACTATGGAATTTATTGGTGTTATATAAATGCCAATATTATTAATAATAATAATAATAATAATGACAGTTGCGTGAGAAGAATCAAGGTGAGAAGAGGGCAATCTATTAACAGTTTAATTTATATGCTTTCCAAAGGAACTGAGGTTTAAATGATCTTTTGAATTAACTGAGACTGAGTGAGAGTCTAACAGAGAAGGGAAGGGAGTTCTACAGAAAAGGTGCAGCCCTGGAGAAATCTTGAAAGTGAGATACCAAACAGAGGATAGACCCAGGTCTTCATGTTTGTGTTTAGGTAGGTAGGTAGGAGCAGCATTGTGTAGAGACTTGTAAGAAAGTACCAGAATTTTATATTGAGCCCTATATCTTACGGGAAGCCAATGCAGGGACTGACAGAAGGGGAGGCATGGGAGGTGAGGGTGGACAGGAAGATGAGCCTCAACACCACATTCATTATATACTATAATGGGGCAAGCTGGGAACACATAAGACTACTGAGAAGCGGATTGAAGTAGTCAAGGCAAGAGAGAATAGTGGCATGGTCCAGCAACTCAGCCATGTCTGGTGTTAAATAAGATACGCACTATGTTTATGTTTATGTGTGGTTACGCACTATGTTTTTGAGATTGAAATGGCAGGATTTGGTGATCGACTGGACATAGGGGTGAAAGAGAAGTTGGAGTCGAAGAGAACAACTAGGCATCAAGCCTGTTAGGTAGAATGCAGTTAGGTAGTGCTATTGAATTGGAGGCAAATAGTAGCAACTCTTGATGTAGGAAAGGTAAGCAATTCTGTTTTGGACAGGTTCGTTTTAAGGAAGTAAGCAGCCATACAGCAAGAAATAGCAGAGAGGCAGTCAGAGATACGAGTCAAGAGGGACAGCGAGAGATAGGGAGAGGACAGGAATATTTGCATGTCTTCTACAAAGAAATTATATAAGAAGCCAAAGGAGCAGATGAGTTTTCCAAGGGAGGCAGAATAGATTGAGAAGAGTAGCAGACCAGAAAAAAAGAACATCGGGCAACACCAACAGAGAAAAATTGGGGAGAAGAGGCATAGTTTGGAGAGGTAAGAGGAGGCTGGGAGAGGTAGAAGGAGCACCAGTAGAGATCAGTATGTTGTAGACAAAGATTACAGAGCATGAGAAGACCCTCGCCTGGTTTGACATTTACCTCCTCCAGGCCTCTCCACGCTGCACTGGAACATGCTGCACCAACGGAGACCGCAACTTTCGAGCTGCATCAGCCGAAACAGTTCTCCGACTGGATGTTCTAGGTGTGCATTTATTAAAAATGGGAAGGTGGTGACTTAATTATAATCTGCAACTAGAACACTATAGCTTTAGGATAACAGGTTTGTATTCCTAATACTATAGTGTTCCTATAAGGTAAACCAACTTTTTGTTTATATTAAACTGTGTGATTTCACCAGGCCTATAAATGACATTAATTTAATTGAGTTAAACCAATACAGTATATGTAAGGCATTATTCTGCTTGAAGGTGAATCTCCACTCATCTCTTAAAAATGAAATTTCCTCAAGAATTGCCCTTT